AAAGGTGAATTTGTGGTCAGGTGGGAGACCCAGCCGGCTCCCTCCTGCTCTGCATCCCCAGCTCCCACCTCCAGATCCCCCAGGCTGGCCGGAGCCTTCCACGTAGGGGCTGGCAGAGCCTGTGTGTGCCCCGCGGTGGGACTCTGGGTGCCTCAGCCCTGCAAGGGCAGCCAGCCCTGAGGCGGTCTCCCTTCAGCACTGACCCCTAGGAGCCCACTCGCCCCTTCCGCCTGCTGAGCTCTGGAAATATCTCTGCTCCAGACCTGTGGTGTGGGTCAGCCCGAGGGGCATCCCTGATGCCCACCCCCGTCCTGTGCCCGGCTGCCCTGGGGCAGACCGATCCAAGCTATGGCCCCGGCCTCGCCGAGCTGTGCCCCCAGACAGTCACCGCCAGCGCCCAGGGAGGGTGGCATCGTCCCCGCCACCCACGGACAGCGTGCAGGCGTGTTCTAGATGCCGGGGAGACGGCACTGAGCGTGAAGTCCTGGGCTCTGGAGCCCTGCTCGTGGGGCAGGAGCCGGCGGAGGGTGGCCGCGCTGACGCTGAGAAGTGAAGCAGAGTCTCGGGAGAGCGGGCAGCCGGCAGGGGGAGCGGCCGTGGGGCAGAGATCGTATTTTATTCAGGGAGGCAGGGAAGGCCTTGCTGATGGGGGCGAGCAGAGTGCTAGGGCAGGCGGAACAGCCCTGCACCGGCCCGGAGGGCACCGTGGCTTTGGGGGGCGGCAGAGGAGAAAGCGTGCGGCCAGCGGGCCCCGCCTGCCCCAGGACCGGTGGCCTGTAGGCCTCTGCTTGTGCCCAGGGAGCAGAGCCAGGGTAGGTCCTAGCAGAGGAGCCCTGGGACCCGCTCCGTGTTAGCCTGCCAGCCGGGGGTGGGGCGGGCCCCTCTCAGCCTGCGTGTCCTCCACATGGTGAGAGGTGACGGGCAGCCGCTGCGGGGGGCGTCGCGTGGCTCCGTCGGCCTGGGTCCCCCCATTGCTTCGTGCACTGGGCCTGGACACTCACAGATGGACCTTTAAAAATACACAGTCGTGTTTAGGACTAATTTCTATTTGTGGAAGGTGATGCTCGTTTGCCATTTATAGCAGCGGCATGAACGCTTCTAAATGTGTTTATTGAAGTACAAGAAAGCCTGAGCTGTAAGGAATAATCTACGGCAGAGCTGGACGGAGGGCGTGGTGTCTGTCGACACTGTGGGGGTGACTCTGCGAGGCTCCATGGCGGAGCCCTCGCCACGACACCCCAACTGAGGCCACGACAGTCGGGCCAGAGTCCGCCCTCAGGCCCCATCGGTGCCCTGAGGGTCGGGGCCAGTGGTGCTGGGAGAACGTCAGCGGAGTCCTGTTCTCTCCTGCATGAGGTGCCCGGTCGTCCCACTGTGCTTCCTGTGATGGTGTCCCTCACAAAAAGAAAGACAGTCGCAGGTGGGGCAGTCAGACCCCCTTCTGTGGCAGAGGACAGAAACGAGCTCCAGGATCAAACAAAAAAGAGGGCTAACTGGCTCACGTGATTGAACGCACAGGGCGCCTTCAGGCCTGGCTGGATCCGGGACGCTCCGGGCAGGACCCTCGCCGAGGGCACGTGGGGACCTGAGGTTTGGGTTCGGTTTGTCGGTCTGCCCACCCTGGCACTGGTACTGTCCCCAGCCTGTCGCTGCCATGTCCCTGCTGAGGCAGCAGTGGCCAGAGATGACCAGCCGCCTTTGATGGGCAAGAGGGAGGGGCACTTACTCCCTGCTGGGGTCCGGAGGCACGGCAGTCGCAAAGGAGGGACCCCTGCCCTGAGCGAGGTCCTGATGTCAAGGGCCCGATGGATGTCTGAGCATATGCAGCTGTCCACACACGTGGAGACGGATACTGACCGTGCAGCTGTCGGGGGGAAGCGGGTTAAGGATGGCGCTGCTGTGCCCTTGGGTACCTCGTGTGCCACATTCAGAGAGAGGCCTCCTGGCAGCCTGGCTGACGTCGCTGCCTTGGCGGCACGGAGCCGTCTGCATTCACCCATCACAGAGGCGCCAACCCGCACTGGGAATCCCACGGCCACTCCAGCAGCCTCTGGTTTGCTGCGTGCCTCTGGGGACATCATGAGACTCAGCGTCCCCACCTGTGAGATGGGGCAGGGCCACATCACTGAAAGAGTGAGCAGGAAGGGAGAGCACTTCCTAGCCTGGGACAGTCACCGTGCTTCTCCCCCTCACCTGCCCCAACACCACCCCGACCCTGGGGACCCATATCGTGCCTGTCCCCGCTTCCCTGTCTGGTGAGCCCCACACTCTGCTCTGATGGTACCTCCAGGGGAAGCCTGTCCCCGCTCCCTGAGTTCATTTATCTCATGAACAGCTTAGAGGACCTCTCGCCACCTCACCGGGTGGTCGTGATCCCACCTAACAGAGGGTGGGGGGGGGTCCCTGTAAATGAAGGATGGATGGATGGACGGATGGATGGAGGATGGATGGAGGAGTGGTCGGGTAGGTAGATGGAGGACGGAGAGAGGAAGCAGGGAAGGAGGCAAGACTTAATCTTTTGTGGGAGAGCGTTCAGGGTGTGACGTGGCCCCCAAGCAAGTGTAAGCTGTTTCTTTGATTGTTTCATGTCTCCTTGGGCGCAGGTTCTAACCACGTTCACAAAAAACATCATCAGCTGTTTAGACGTGTGCTCGGTTCATGTAACGAGCACGGACTGAGTGCGTTCTGTGTACCGGCTCCAGGCTGGGCTTCCAGGGGCCCAGCCTGAGTGTGAGGCCGACCTCGGGGTGCTCTCCATCTCCGAGGAGAGTCAGGCCCATGTTTGTTGAGTGACTGTCAGAGGGGTTGATCCCAAGGACTGTGGGGCTGTGAGGAGGGCAGGTCCATTCTGCGGTGGGGGAGGGGGTCCCCTGGAGGCGCCGTCACAGCCGGTTCTTGGCAGCGGGAACAGGGGCCCAGCACGAGGTGGGTCCGCAGGGTCTGGCCGGTGTCAGAGCAGGTGAGGGGGGAAGAGCAGTGACTGTCCTGGTCTTGGGACTGCTTTCCCGCTCGCTATTTCAGGCACGTGGCCCTGCCCCCTCTCCCAGGTGGGGACCTGAGCCCAGCACGGCACTGGGGCCCCTCCCCTCTCGCCCCCTACCTAGGAGCCTGTTCAGAGGCCCCGATGTGCTCTCCTCACTCTCCTCCTCCAGATACTTCATCCCTTGAAGGGACGCCCCAGCTGTGTGCCAAGGAGCTGTTTCCTGCTCCTCTGAGAGGCTCACTCCTGGGGGAGGCCTCTTGGAATAAGAGCCAGGGCGGGGAGGAGGGGAGTTAGCACCGCCACCCCCCAGCTGCACACCGGCCCTGGGCACGTGGACTGCGGCGCTGACAGAGGTGGAGGCCAGACATCCATCTGGGTGGGAGACAGTGTGAGCCTCCCGAGCCACCTCCCAGCTCTGGTCCACACCCTCCACTCAGCCCTCACTCATCCTGTCACCTCTGGGCAGAACAGCCCACCACCTCCTGGAAGCCTCCCTGGTTTCCCCGGCCCTCGTTCCCTGAGAAGTTTGTGGCATCACCATGAGGCCGGTCCGGGAGGTACCTGGTCTGTGATGCCTGATGTCAGAGCCCAGGGCCACCAAACGTCTTGTATTTTTTATTGAAGTACAGTTGATTTACAATGTTGTCTTAGTTTGAGGTGTGCAGCAAAGCAATTCAGTTATACATATAGAAAGCCATATATTCTTTTTCATATCCTTTCCCATTATGGTTTATTACAGGATATCGAATACAATTCCCCGTGCCGTACAGTAGGAACTTGTTATCTATTTTATATACAGTAGTGTGAATCTGTTAATCCCAAACTCCTAATTTATCCCTCCCCTCCCTTTCCCCTTTGGTAAGTTTGTTTTCTGTGTCTGTGAGTCTGTTTCTGTTTTGTAAATAAGTTCATTTGTACCTTTTTTTTTAAGATTCCACATATAAGTGAGATCATATGATACTTGTCTTTCTCTGACTGACTTCTTAGTATGATCACCTCTAGGCCCATCCATGTTGCTGTAAATGGTATTATTTCATTCTTTTTTATGGCTGAGTAGTATTCCATGTATATATGTACATCTTCTTTATCCATTCATCTGTCCACGGACATTTAAGTTGCTTTCATGTCTTGGCTATTGTATACAGTGCTGCTGTGAACATTGGGGTGCACGTATCTTTTTGGGTTATGGTTTTCTCCGGGTATATGCCCAGGAGTGGGATTGCAGGATCATACAGTAACTCTATTTTTAGTTTTTTTAAGGAACCTCCGTACTGTTCTCCATTGGTTGTACCAATTTACATTCTCACCAGCAGTGCAGGAGGGTTCCCTTTTCTGCACACCCTCTCCAGCATTTGTTGTTTGTAGACTTTTTGATGATGGCCATTCTGACTGCTGTGAGGTGGTATCTGTTTGTAGTTCTGATTTGCATTTCTCTAATAATGAGCGATGTTGAGCATCTTTTCCATGGCTCTTCGCCGTTTTTATGTCTTCTTTGGAGAAATGTCTACTTAGGTCTTCTGTGCATTTTTTGATTGCGTTGTTTGGTTTTTGTTATTGAGTTGTGAGCTGTTTGTATGTTTTGGAGATTAAGCCCTTGTCAGTCGGTCGCATCATTTGCAATTTTTTTTTTTTTTTTTTGCGGTACGCAGGCCTCTCACTGTTGTGGCCTCTCCCGTTGCGGCCTCTCCCGTTGCGGAGCACAGGCTCCAGACACGCAGGCTCAGCGGCCATGGCTCACGGGCCCAGCCACTCCACTGCATGTGGGATCTTCCCGGACCGGGGCACGAACCCGTGACCCCTGCATCGGCAGGCGGACTCTCAACTACTGCGCCACCAGGGAAGCCCCATTTGCAAATATTTGCTGGCAGTCTGTAGGTTGTCTATTCATTTTGTTTATCATTTCCTTTGCTGTGCAAAAGCTAACATTTATTTTTGCTTTTATTTCTATTACCTGGGGGGACTGACCTAAGAAAACATTGCTACGATTTATGTCAGAGAATGGTTTGCCTATGTTCTCTTCTAGGAGTTTTATGGTGTCATGTCTAAGTCTTCAAGCCATTTTGAGTTTATTTATGTGTATGGTGTGAGAGGGAGTGTTCTAACTTCATTGATTTACGTGAGGCTATCCTGCTTTCCCCACATGGGCTGTGGGTCTGGGAAGGAGAGAGAGAAATGGAGGGACTCACGGATGGATGGAGGAGTGGATGGAGGGAGGCTGGGAGGGAGGGAAAGAGAGTGGCAGTCTGTGACCGGTCTGTGACCGTCTGCTGTTTATAATTCCTTCCGGAGCCCCCTAGGGATCCTGAGCACATTTCCCTGAATGGTGGGGCTGAGAAGTGGGCTCTTCCCTGAACCTCTTAGGGGAGCGGGACTTGGGATCGTTCATTCCTTGGAGGCATTTCAGAAGGTCCCTTTCTGCCCTGGACCCCAGAACCCTCCCTCCCCAATGGTGCCAGTGAGAGGTGGGCTGTGGTCCCAGCAGAAAGCTGCCCACCAGGCTCGTCCTCACCTGTCACAGTTGGAAACACCTGTGGCCTCTGCTCAGAACAGGGGTGTGGAAAGGCCCCCTCTGCTGACCTGGGGTTGCTGCACCAGTGGGTCCAGGTGGAGAAGGGCTGGGTGGCCCCTTCAGTGCCCAGTGAAATTCGCCGTCCCCATCAAGCATCATTTTGCCTTTTAAAATTCACACCTGCATCTGAACGCTAACCACTCCTTCCAGACTGTGTTCAGACACAGAGTAATGCTGGTGTCTGTGTGCCTGCAGAGAGAGGGGAGAGGGCTTGACTCCCTTCTCCTGTTTGAATTTCTGGACTGAGGCTGAACTAGACACTGAGGATGCTAAAGAAATGAGGTCCCTGCAGACACACGTCTGGGGGTTGCCCCTCTTTCCAAACTGTCCACCCCTGGTCTGGCAAACCCAGCACAGCGTGCTGTGTGCTCCAGGCCCCCTTTTCCTTATTTCTACCTCGATCTACACCTGTGGAAGCCAGGCACTGAGGTGAAGGCAGAGACCTCACCACCCACCGCAAGTGAGAACTTTCTTCTGCCAGGTCACCTGCCGAGCACCCTGCAGCCAGCGCCCCCGGGCAGGACGGGGACCCAGCTGAGTCCGTCCAGGGAATGTATTTCTTTAATGAAAGTATAAACAGCCTGTAAACTAAAACCCAAACTGATGCTGTCTTCCTCCCCCTCATGCCCTTCTAGAAAGTTCAGCAGTACACAGTCATCGTTCAAGCGACAGACATGGAAGGAAACCTGAACTATGGCCTGTCCAACACGGCCACAGCCATCATCACGGTGACGGACGTGAACGACAACCCGCCCGAGTTCGCTGCCAGCACGGTGAGTGCGCGTCCCCTCGGAGACGGTCCCGGGCCTTCGGGCTGCTTCTCTCTCTGCTGCCACCTGATGGAAGGAGCTTGACGGATGAATAGACGGGCTGTTAACAAAGGCCCCGAGCGGCGGGGGGCTGGGCGGGAGAGGAGCTCCGGGTGTCTGCAGGCCCCTGCTGACCACTGGCTGACACCTGGAGAGGCTCCCAGGACAGAGGGAGTTGGACCCTCCTCCCGAACCCGGAGGAGTTGACCAGCGGTGTTTGGGCTCCAGGGTCAGCCAGTGTGGGGTGTGTGCATGGCTGCACGCGAGGCAGGACTGTCGGGGGGGATGCCTGGGGACAGGGCAGGTCCCTGCGGCAGGACCGCAGCTGGCCCTCCACAGCCCACCATCAGCAGGGGGGCAGCGGGGCGTGGGGGACACATTGTACGTCCTGCCCCTTCAGGCACGGCCAGCGGGCTGTGACCAGGCCACGTGCCAGGCTGCCCAGAACCTGAATGACCACAGGAACGCCCTAGCGGCAGAGCCGAGGGATCACAGAGCCACGCGTCACGCGCTCCCAGTTCCTCTGAATTCCAAAGGAGCTGCGTCTTTTGGGCCACGCCCCCCGGAGTGGGGTTGCTGACAGAATGGGAACATATACCCACCCTGCGGGTGCCCGTCCAGAAATGCGGCAGATGCAGGGGGCCAGATGGGCAGAGGGGAGGGTCAGTGAGGACTCCCCGGGCAGTGCTGGGAGGTGGAGGCTGCCCCCTCCCCCCAGGGTGTCAGGGTTGCCTTCTCTGAGCCTCACTCCCGCGGCACGAGTGGATGAGAGGGTAACAGCAGTAACAGTAACAGAAGAACTGGAGCGCAAGCCCAGCTGTGGAGCGCCCCTCACCCCCACTCCACCAGGCAGCAGCCTGGGCTTCCTGGTCAACCTCTGGGCCCCACCAGCCCCATGAGGCTCGGGACCTAGTTAGGGAGGAGGATGCTGAGGCTCAGAGAGGCTGAGTCACTTGTCCAGAGCCACTCAGCCCACTAGGAGCAGCTGGGGCTGAGCCCAGGAAGCTGTGCTCTTAAACCACAGCGGAGGGGGTGGGGGGGGACAGAGAGGAGACCCCTCATTCTCCCAGTGGGTGGGTCAGCTTGCCGTGAAGGCATCTCACAGGCGGGAGCCCCACCAGCGTCCCTGCATGCCCTCATCCTGCTTCCCCACCTGCCCACAGGCTCCAAATTCTGGAGTCCTCAAATCCCACATCCCTGCAGTAAGGCATCTCAGAGTCCTAGGCTCTGTGTCCGGCTGGACCAAGCCAGAGGAGGGCAGCCTCAGCCACGAGGGCACAGCGCCATCTGGTGGGCAGATGGCAGATCGCCCCACAGAGGGAGCCGCTCAGGTCTCTGCCCCCTGGTTAGGGTGGGATGGCTTCCATTCTGTTTGCTCTCCACGGCCAGTGGGCAGTGGCAGGAAGGGCTCAGGAGCAGCGTCCCAGGGAGTCTGGACATGAGGAGAGCAGCTCATTGTTCGTTGCACCGAGGTCTGACGTGCCTACAGTATGAGGCACAAATCTTGAGTGAAACCTTCCCCCCGGCCAGCAGCAACCCAGGCCCATCGTCCAAGGTGAGCTTTACCTGTTCTAGGAGGTCATGTAAACGGAGTCACACGGAACGCACGATTCCCTGGAGCCGCCCACCTGGTGGCATAAGGCCTCTGGGGTCCTTCCTTGTTGTTGTATCAGTTCAGTCAGATAGGGCCCCGCCCATCTGGGTTTTTTCTGTTCTCAGCTTGGACCCTTTGGAACTAGGAACAAGTTTTCATTGCCTCACCCGGCTTCACTTAATCATTATCTATCTCTTTTTCAAAAATTAACTTGAGTATTTGGTTAGGTAATTCACACACACGGTACAGTACCTTAAAAGGTATAAAATGACTTACTTTGAGGAGGAGCCCCTTGTGTTTTCACTCTGACCCTTGCGTTGTTTTTGGTTTTTCCGCTTATGATATGTCTTGAAGACCTTTCCATATCCACAGATTCCGAACGCCCCTGAAATTTTTTCAACATGTGTTTAGAAATAATTTCAAGCTCACAGAAAAGTTGTAAGAATAGAAACAGGGAAAAGAATAGCCTCACAGAGAGAAGACAAGATGGTGGAGTAGAAGGCCTTGCGCTCACCTAACACAAAAGCACCAAAGTCACAGCTAACTGCTGCACAGTCACTCATCAATAAACAAGAAAGACGGGCTTCCCTGGTGGTGCAGTGGGTAAGAATCGCCTGCCAATGCAGGGGACACAGGTTCGAGCCCTGGTCCAGGAAGATCCCACGTGCCGCGGAGTGTGCCACAACTACTGAGCCCGTGCTCTAGAGCCCGCAAGCCACAGCTACTGAAGCCTGCGTGCCTAGACCCCATGCTCCGCAACAAGAGAAGCCACCACAATGAGAAGCCTGTGCACCACAACAAAGAGTAGCCCCCACTCGCCGCAACTAGAGAAAGCCTGCTCGCAGCAACGAAGACCCAACACAGCCAAAAATAAATAAATTTATTTTTAAAAACAAAAGATTATCAGCTGATTTTTTTTCAGCAGAGACTATGCAGGCCAGAAGGGAGTGGCAGGATATATCTAAAGTGATGAAAGGAAAAGACATACAACCAAGAATACTCTACCTAGCAAGGCTCTCATTCAGATTTGATGGAGAAATCAAAAGCTTTATAGACAAGCAAAAGCTAAAAGAATTTAGCACCACCAAACCAGCGTTACAAGAGACACTGAAGGAACTTCTCTACGTGGAAAAGAAAAGGCCACAACTAGAAACAAGAAAATGATGAAATGGGAAAGCTCACCAGTAAAGGCAAACGTACAGTAAAGGTAGGAGATCATCCACACAAGCATGGTATCAACACCAGCCATCGTGAGAGGAGGAGAGCACAAGTGCAGGACACTGGAAGTGCGTTTGAAATTAAGAGATCACAATTTAAAACAATCATATATTTATATACACTGCTGTATCAGAACCTCATGGTAACCACAAACCAAAAATCTATAATAGACGTACACACACAAAAGAAAAAGGAATCCAAACACAACACTAAAGATAGTCATCAAATCATAAGAAGAGAGAACAAAAGAGGAAAGGAAGAAAAAAGACCTACAAACCCAAAACAATTAACAATACCAGTAAGAACACACATATCAATAATTACCTTAAATGGGGGCTTCCCTGGTGGCGCAGTTGTTGAGGGTCTGCCTGCCGATGCAGGGGACACGGGTTTGTGCCCCGGTCCAGGAGGATCCCACATGCCGCCGAGCGGCTGGGCCCGTGAGCCATGGCTGCTGAGCCTGCGCGTCCGGAGCCTGTGCTCCGCAATGGGAGAGGCCACAGCAGTGAGAGGCCCGCGTACCGCAAAAAATAATAATAATAGTTACCTTAAATGTAAACGGGTTAAATGCTCCAACCAAAAGACGTGGACTGGCTGAATGGATACAAAAACAAGACCCATATATATGTTGTCTACAAGAGACCCACTTCAGACCTAGAGACACATACAGACTGAAAGGGGGTGGAAAAAGGTATTCCATGCAAATGGAAATCAAAAGAAAGCTGGAGTAGCAATACTCATATCAGATAAAATAGACTTGAAAATAAAGACTACTACAAGAGACAAAGGAGGACACTACGTAATGATCAAGGGATCGATCCAAGAAGAAGATACAACAATTGTAAATATATACGCACCCAACACAGGAGCACCTCAATATATAAGGCAAATGTTAACAGATATAAAAGGAGAAATTGACAGTAAATAAATAATAGTGGGGGACTTCAGCGCCCCACTTACATCAATGGACAGATCATCCAGACAGAAAATCAGTGAGGAAACACAAGCCTTAAATGACACATTAGACCAGATGCACTTAACTGATATCTACAGAGCATTCTGTCCGAAAGCAGCAGAATACACACTCTTTTCAAGTGCACACGGAACATTCTCCAGGACAGATCACGTGCTGGGCCACAAAGCGAGCCTCAGTAAACTTGGGAAAATTGAAATCATATCAAGCATCTTTTCCAACCACAACACTATAAGATTAGAAATCAACTACAAGAAAAAAAACTGCAAAAAACACTAACACGTGGAGGCTACACAATATGCTAGTGAACCAATGGATCACTGAAGAAATCAAAGAGGAAATCAGAAAATACCTAGAGACAAATGGAAACGAAAGCACTATGATCCAAAAGCTATGGAACGCAGCAAAAGCAGTTCTAAGAGGAAAGTTTATAGCAATACAAGCTTACCTCAGGAAAAATCTCAAACAACCTAACCTTACATTAAAGCAACTAAAGATGAAGAACAAACAAAACCCAAAGTTAGTAGAAGGAAAGAAATCATAAAGATCAGAGCAGAAATAATGAAATAGAGACTAAGAAAACCATAAAAAAAGATCAATTAAAGTAAAAGCTGGTTCTTTGAAAAGATAAAATTAATAAAACTTTAGCAAGACCCATCAGGAAAAAAAGGGAGAGGACTCAAATCAATAAAATTAGAAATGAAAAAGGAGACATTACAACCAACAGCACAGAAATACAAAGGACCACAAGAGACTACTACAGGCAACTATATGGCAGTAAATTGGACAACCTAGAAGAAATGGACAAATTCTTAGAAAGGTACAATCTCCCAAAATTGAACCAGGAAGAAATAGAAAATATGAAAAGACCAATTACAAGTACTGAAATTGAATCTGTGATTTAAAAACTCCCAACAAACAAACGTCCAGGACCAGATGGTTTCACAGGTGAATTCTATCAAACATTTAGAAAAGAGTTAACACCTATCCTTCTGAAACTATTCCAAAAAATTGCAGAAGAAGGAACATTTCCAAACTCATTCTATGAGGCGACCATCACTCTGATACCAAAACCAGACAAAAATACTTCAAAAAAAAATTACAGGCCAATATCACTTATGAACACAGATGCAAAAATCCTCAACAAAACACTAGCAAACCGAATCCAACAATACATTAAAAGGATCATACACCACGATCAAGTGTGATCCATCCCAGGGATGCAAGGATTTTTCAGTATCTGCAAATCAATCAGTGTGATACACCACATTAACAAATGGAAGAATAAAAACCATACGATCGTCTCAGTAGAAGCAGAAAAAACTTCTGATAAAATTCCACACCCATTTATGATTTAAAAAAAAAACTGTCCAGAAAGTAGGCATAGAGGGAGCCTACCTCAACATAATAAAGGCCATATATGACAACCCGACAGCTAACATCATACTCAATGGTGAAAAGCTGAAAGCATTTCCTCTAAGATCAAGAGCAAGACAAGGGGACTTCCCTGGTGGCGAAGTGGTTAAGAATCCACCTGCCAATGCGGGAGACATGGGTTCAAGCCCTGGTCTGGGAATAATATCCCATATGCTGCGGAGCAACTAAGCCGGTGTGCCACAACTACTGAAGCCTGTGCGCCTAGAGCCTGTGCTCCGCAGCAAGAGAAATCACCGCAATGAGAAGCCCATGCACCACAGCAAGAGTAGCCCCTGCTCGCCTCAACTAGAGAAAGCCCGCGCACAGTAACAAAGACCCAACGCAGCCAAAAATAAATAAATTTAAAAAGAACAAACAAGGATGTCCACTCTCACCACTTTTATTCAGCATAGTTTTGGAAGTCCTAGCCACAGCAATTGGAAAAGAAAAAGAAATAAAAGGGATCCAAACTGGAAAAGAAGCAAAACTGTCACCGTTTTCAGATGACATTACACTGTACATTCGTTGAGAATCCTAAAGATGCTACCAGGAAACTACTTGAGCTCATCAGTGAATCTGGTAAAGTTGCAGGATACAAAATTAATACACAGAAATCTGTTGCATTTCTATACACTAACAACAGAAGATCAGAAAGGGAAATTAAGGAAACAATCCCATTTACCATGGCATCAAAAAGAATAAAATACCCAGGAATGAACCTACCTAAGGAGAAAAAAAAAAAAAAAAAACACCTGTACTCCAAAAACTGTAAGATGCTGATGAAAGAAACAGAAGATGACATAAATAGATGGAAGCATATACCAAGTTCATGGATTGGGAGAGTCAATATTGTCAAAATGACTATACTACCCAAGGTAATCTACAGACTCAGTGAAATCCCTATCAAATTACCTATGGTATTTTTCACAGAACTAGTACAAAAAGTTTTAAAATTTGTATGAAAACACAGAAGACCCCGAATAGCCAAAGCAATCTTGAGAAAGAAAAACGGAGCTGGAGGAATCAGGCTCCCTGACTTCAGACTATACTACAAAGCTACAGTAATCAAAACAGCATGGTACTTGCACAAAAACAGAAATGTAGATCAATGGAACAGGATAGAAAGCCCACAAATAAACCCACACACCTATGGTCAATTAATCTACGACAAATGAGGCAAGAATATACAATGGAGAAGATACAGTCTCTTCAATAAGTAGTGCTGGGGAAACTGTACAGCTACATGTAAAAGAATGAAATTAGAACATTCTCTAACAAACACCATACAAAAAATAAATTCAAAATGGATTAAAGACTTCAACATAAGACCGGATACTATTAAAACTCCTAGAGGAAAACATAGGGAGGACACCCTTTGACATATCGCAGCAATACATCTTTGGATCCATCTTCCAGAGTAATGAAAACAAAAATAAACACATGGGACCTAATTAAACTTAAGAGCTTTCGCATAGCAAAGGAAACCATAAAACGAAAAGACAACCTATGGAATGGGAGAAAATATTTTCAAATGAAGCGACTGACAAGGGATTCATCTCCAACATATACAAACAGCTCATGCAGCTCAATATCAAGAAAACCTAATCAAAAAATGGGCAGAAGACCTAAGTAGAAATTTCTGCAAAGAAGACACACACAGATGGCAAAAAGGCACGTGGAAAGATGTTCAACATCACTAATTAGAGAAATGCAAATCAAAACTGCAATGAAGTATCACCTCACACCAGTTAGAATTGAAATCACCAGAAAATCTACAGACGACAAATGCTGGAGAGGGTGTGGAGAAAAGGGAACCCTCTTGCACTGTTGGTGGGAAGGTAAATTGGTGCAGCCACTATGGAGAACAGTACGGAGGTTCCTTAAAAAACTGAATATAGAACTACCCAGCAATCCCACTCCTGGGCATTTATCTGGAGAAAACCATAATTTGAAAAGATACATGCACCCTAGTGTTCACTGCAGCACCATTTACAATAGCCAAGACATGGAAGCAACCTAAATGTCCATCAAAAGATGAGTGGATAAAGAAGATGTGGTACACACATACAATGGAATATTACTCAGCTATAAAAAAGAATGAAATAATGCCATTTGCAGCAACATGGATGGACCTGGAGATGATCATGCTAAGTGAAGTCAGACAGAAAGACCAATATCATCATATATCACTTACAGGTGGAAACTAAAAAAATGATACAAATGAACTTATTTACAAAACAGAAACAGACTTGTAGACATGGAAAACAAACTTATGGTTACCAAAGGGCCGGGGGATAATTTAGGAGGTTGGGATTAACATTTACACACTGCTATATATAAAATAGATAAAGAACAAGGACCTACTGTATAACACAGGGAACTCTACTCAATATTTTCTAATAACCTGTATGGGGAAAGAATCTGAAAAAGAATATACATATATATGTGTATAACTGAGTCACTTTGCTCTACACCTGAAACTAACACACACTGTAAATCAGCTGTGCTCCAGTTACAGCAAACACAAAGGAGAGCTGCGCACCCCGACCCTGTCGGCGCCATGCCGTGTGTGCCCGCTTCTCCCTGTAGGGGCGCCCACACAATTCTTTCTGAGCTGCTTGGGAATCAGTAGTATGCGTGATGCCCTCACATCTAAAGGCTTCTGAGTGTATTTCCTAAGAGGCTTTTCTCTGTCAGGAAACAGCTGCTAGCCCTTTTTCCACCAGAGACACCTGAGGCCGAGAGGGGTAATTCGGGCTACCCGAGGTCACACAGTGAGACAGAGTCCAACCCACATCTCCTCCCGCGGGCCCACCTTCGCACCACACCTCTCCTTCAGGACCCCAAGTGTGTCTCCCGTCCCCTTCCGAGATGGAGCAGCGCTGCCTTCCCGGGTTTCCGCAGCTCCAGAGAGGGGCCCCGAGGCTGCCCTGACACCCGAGCTCCCGCAGGGCACGTCCGCGGGGGACCACTTCCGCCCACTGTCCCGAGCCCTGATCTGGCTTTGACGAGCCCTGGTCGGCCCTGACCTGACCGTCGTGTGGCTCTCTGCTTCTAGCCTGAACCTCGTCTGCCCTTCTGCACGCCAGCCGCCCTGCAAACGCCCGCTGATCCCCTAGAAAGGCCGGGTCCTAGATGGCCTGTGAGGAAGCGATGGGGCGGAGAAAAGGAGGGTGCGGTGCACCTTCCTGACCTGTTTGCGCTGGGCTGTCCACACGAGGGGAGGGGAGATGATCAACAAGATACCCCCGGATCTGCACACACGCCTGAAAAAGGGGCAGCCAGGGAATTACACTGAGACCCAGGAGGGAGTTCATGTGACCCAAGGAGGTGCCCTGGGGCACATCCCAGGGGAAAGTTCCTGCCTGCACGCCTGGATGAAGGCAAGGTGGGCACAGCCTGGTTCCCGGGACTGTTCCTCAGGGAGATGCCCCTCCGGGCTTTCCGAACGGCTGCCTCTTCCCAGAGTTGCCCCTGCCCCTCCTCCACCCCAGTCGGCCTCAGCCAGGCCCGGGCCCTGGAGGCCAGGAGAGCACATAGAGGCCCTGCCTGCTTACTGTCGGGGCTGTAGGGCGGCGGCGTGGATGTGTGTGGATTGGCTAATGTCCCGGGGTCACACGTTATGACATGGCCCCTCGGGACGGGTGGAAGGCAGGGCCCCAGGACACCGTCTGCTGGGCTCAGTGGGGGCGGGCGGGCGCAGGCCCAGGGCTGGCTGCACCCCCTGCACAGCCAGGCTAATTTTATCGCGCTTAATCAAGAGCCATCAGCAGAAGCTGCAGAGGTGGGGGTGGGGATTTGCATGATCCAGTTCCTGTTCTGAAATGTTAATTAGACGTCGTTCTCCCTTTGCCTGCTCCGAGCCTGCGCTCCCTTGCTGTCACCGCGAAGCGTCCCTCAGCACCCCTGCAGGGTGAGGCGGGTCCACGGGGGTAGGGCTGAGGCCCCCAGGACACAGCCGCAGACCCGACCCAAGGGCCTCCCTCTGCCTCATCCTCAGGTCCTGGAGCAAAGCCCTGAGACCCAGCCACACACAGGCCCACGGGGGGGGTCTCCTGGAGTCGGGAAGCCCCCTTCTGCCCCCCCAACCCCCGGGTCCCTCCTAGCTTTGTGCCCTTAGGCTGACAGTCGGACCTCTCTGAGCATCAGAACGTTTTCCCCTCTTGGCGCGTAAGTGTTACATGGCTCAAGGTGAAGCTGGGAGCATCCGCTCATCTACAGGGAAGTTTGCTCTCTGCCCTAAAAACGCCGCGGGTGGTACCTGACCCCCATCACAGGGGCACCGACTGGGCGGCGGAGCAGACAGGGTCCCGGCTCTGCCTTCAGCGGGTGAGGGGTTCACGGTGGAGGCACCAAAACATTCATTCCAAGTCCAGTTTCCTCATCTGTTAAGAAAGGGAGGATGGGAGTCCTTAAGGTGCATCGCGCTACCGTTCAAGACTGTACGTGATAGGACATACTTGTCTTTACTGTATATGTGATTGGATGACCTATTCCCCATTCCAAGGCAAGCATGAATAAAATTAAGCTAAATGTTAAAAAAAAATAAAGGGGGGGTGAGATCATGGTGGGTCCCCTCCCAGGGTCCTCTGAAGACAGAAGAGAGGGCGACAAGCACCCAGTAGCCCTTCTTTCTGGAAAGGGGGTGAACCAAAAAGCTGGGGAGGTGCTTCAGGGTCCTCTCCCTGAGCTGGCGTCCCAAGGGCCACGTCCCAGGCGGCACTCACCTGTTCTCACAGCAGCACCGCAGGAGGGGACAAGGCTCCAGAGTCACCACCCGGGCCCCGGGCCCCAGGCTTCTCCCTGTGGGTGGAGGAGGATGGATGTCAGCCGCCAGGTCCCCCGTTACGAGCCACTGGTCCCACCCGTCAGATTCTGATTCCAAACTCAGAAGCCGACAGAAATTGTCACCGTTTTACTGGAGAGGAAACTAAATTTCAAAAGTTAAAATCGCCGGAGCGTTGTGCCACTACCACCTCCCGCTCCCTGCACCAGTGCCGCGGCCACATCCCTGGGCCGGAGCCCCGGGGCCAGGCGCTGCGGAAAGACGAAAAGAAGAGAGCAGGAGCTCGGAAGTGCTGTGGGCTGTGAGGGCGAGAAGGAGCGGAGGCTTGGAAATTCTGACTGCAAACGATAAAGAAACTAAAGACAAAACAACAAAAATAAAACCATAGCAATGTCAGAGGAGAAGGCACGATTTCCAACAGAAGCCAACGCAGCCCCGGGGCTTCCAGGGCGATCCCTGAGTTCCTGGCTCAGGAGAGGACTGGGTGGGGGGCACCCCCCTCGCATAACACCCTCGGTCATACCAGGGTCCAGGGCCCAGAGAGAAGGCAGCTGGGGGAGGGTCAGGTCCTCAGGCCTGAGCCGCGCTAGGACCAGCGATGGTTCGAATACTGGGGCCAGAAACAAAAGCATCATCTCGGGGAGTCTGGCAGCCCCAATGGAGCAGGTGCCCTGGTGGTCCCCGGGTCTGTGGGGACAGGCCCTGCCATCCTCCATCCTCTCGGCCTGGCTGAGGGGTCTTCCCTAAATCCCGGCTGGGCTTCACTGTTCCCACCCAAATCCTCCACTCTGCTAATGTGACCCTCCCCTGGGAGCCCCCCAGATTTGTGTGGAGGAGCTGGGGTTGTGCTGGAAGGCCCAGGCACGAATAGGAAATCCACCCTGCCTCTCGAGATGGGGGTGCATGTGAATTCTGGGTTACAGCTATGCAAGAAATTCCAACACTCTTCCAATTCTTCCTTTCCCAAGTATCCGCCCTTACATCCCACGGGGCATGGGGGAGGCTTTCCCTGTGCCTGAAAACCCAAAAATTTAAATTTAAAACTCATTATGGCTACAGGGGAAGGTTAGTAAGAAAACCCTGAGCCAGGCTTCCCAGCTAAGGCACCTCTTTGTGAACCTTTATTAAACTTGCATGAATTAAAATAGACTTTTCAAATAAACTTCACCCGGAAATTTGGAAGGAACTGGTCTCCGGGACACGCAGCTCTCCCCATGCCGTGAAACCACAGGCCCGTATTCTCGGGGGACCAGAGCAGAGTGGGTGGAGGCGCCCAACAGGGCCCCCGTGGGGTGCACTGGAACTGGGCTGTGGCGGGGGGGCCTGTCAGGTGGCGGCACCAGAACCCACCCTGATTAAGCCAGTGGCCGCCACAGCACGAGGGGCCACAGACTCCGAGAGCCGCGCGCAGCAGGCCGGGGGCTCCGCCGGGGGTACCCCCAGCTTCCGCTGCCACGGGGCGCAGAGGCCTCAGCTCCCATCTCCATCGCTGGACACGGTGCCACCACCCACCTTCTGCCACTGCAGGCACCAAAGCACAAGGTCTCTCTGCCTCTCTTCTGAATCAAACTCATGAAGGTGTGTCCCACTGGCAGGTTCTAGATCACCTGACCAGGTCGTGGCAGTAGAGGAGGGCGAGAAAGCACGGTTCTGGAAGATAAAGAAGGGAATTCAGAAGGTGCTGGAGAGCCAAACAGCCTACTGATGTCCACTACACTGACCCTGGCAACTGAAACAAGAAGAGAATCTCCTCATCTCGCAGAAGCTGCACTGTCTTCAGGCATGGCTGGATCCAGGCTCTGGCAGTCACCCGGCGGTTTCCCTGAGCCGTGCTTTCTCTGGGCCGTGCCAAGGTCTCTTAACCTCTCTTGCTTCTGCTTCTTCATCTGCAAAATGGGGATAAGAATGGGGTTCTCCTGATGAACCAGCAGAATAACGCAAGGGCAGTACCTGGCACAGAGTGGGCACTCGGTAACCATCGTTAGGGCTGCGCTGCTGTGAACACAACTGGAAATCCCCAGATATTTGTTCAAACTTTGTCTCCAGGTTTTGTGGCTCAAAAGCACACTGCACTGTGACAGAATGGCCACACGATTTGCATGGCCCAGTGCCAAATAAGAACGCAGGGGCCCTCATTCACAAAGTATGAAGGATTTCAAGACTCACTGCACAGCAGTGAACCGAGCTCGGGGCTCTTCTGAGCTGGGCCACAGCTGCACAGCACTGACTCGCCTGCTGAGAGGTGCTCAGATTTCCATCACCACCTCGACACCAGCACCAACACGCCCCACCACGCACACAGTCTTTGCCTGCCCATAACTACTGCGGCCACGTGAACCCCACTCACCGATGGGCGTGGTTTGCAGCCCTCACTGCTGCGGCAGGAAAGAAAGGGTTGAGGCTCTGTGTTTGATCATCTGCACATCTGCAGCTGCTGACCCCAGGCCCCAAGGCCGTGTCGGGGACCACCGGGACGGCAGGAGCCCAGAGATGGTTCAGCTCGGGAAGCCCTCTGCAGCTGCGTCCCCACTCCTGTTCGTTTCCCATTTTGTAAGCACGTTTTTATAGTCTCTTGCAAGCCCCAGGTATTTGCATTGGTCCCCTGCTGCCTATGGGAAGGGCTTGAAGGGGATTTAGGAGGGGGTCCTGGCATGCGTGCGTGCACAGGCAGGGATTAGTTTGGAGGCGGATACGTGCAGATGAGCCTCGGGCTTTGCTGGGCCTCAGCTGGAGGAAGCAGAGCCCTCTCTAGACGCCTCCTCGTCGGCACGGACATGGGATGGGCCAACCTGCGGGAGTCACCGTGTCTGGGAGCAGCTGGAAGCAGAGGCCCCCCAGGGTCAGCAAAGAACCTCTCTAGCCTCTCCAGGCTTCCACACGGGTTTGTAATGTTGTCTTTTCTTACACTTCGCAGTATGCAGGGGAAGTCCCCGAAAACCGGGTGGAGATGGTGGTCGCAAACCTCACTGTGATGGACCGAGATCAGCCCCACTCCCCGAACTGGAACGCTGTCTACCGCATCATCAGCGGGGACCCCTCGGGCCACTTCAGCGTCCGCACGGACCCCGTCACCAACGAGGGCATGGTCACCGTGGTGAAGGTGGGTGCTCACCTCGCCTCCTGCTGGGCTCCCCGAGCTCTGCCCCCGCCACGTGCCCTGAGGCAGACGTAACAGGAGTGATATTCGGGTTCAGTGCGTGCCACCCCAGTGTCCAAGGGCAAAGGACTGCGCCCGACCTGCCAGGGGCAGAGGCAGCCTCAGCAGGACCGGTCACGTGACCCCAGGGACTCTGCAGGCCTGACCTGCCACCCACCCCCCAAAAGATAACTCTCCCATCTCCTCCCTCGCACCTGGCCCTCAGCTTCCGAAGCTCAGAGGCCAAGAGTCAGCCTCTTCTGCTTCCCGGCCGGGCGGCGACAAGGCTTTGCCCGAGGCAGTGAGTGAGCGGTGCCCCAGTGCCCGGAGGAGGGTCAGGGTGGCAGGAACAGCGGGAGCAGGCCAGTTCGGGGGCCACGGTAACCTCTGCAGCTCCCAGCAAGGCCCAGCGAAAACACTTCACCCCAAGCCTCCCCCACGTGCACTGGTGCGCCCCCAGCCCTGCCCCACGAGCCTGCACCCACGCTGGGCTGCTCCCCTCAGGGTGCAGACCCGGCCCCTGGGCTTTGAGCGAAGGGTCGTGGCCACACGTGGGGGAGGCAGCTGAGCGGAGGCCCAGTGAGGCTGTCTGGCCTCTGATTGAAACTGTTGGAGCAAATTACTCACTGATTTCTCTGTTACCAATATGTTTTGTTTTGCCGTCCGACAGACTTCCGTTGGCCATAATCTTTCTGGAAGGTGTCCTCACTCAGACTGGCGACACAATTTTTAATGCATGACACGTAGCATTATTCCCTGTCCTCCAGGGACACGAACGGATAAATATGGGAGAAGGACCACTTCCTTTAGTGACTTCTTCAGAGGCACACCCACCATGATTTTAGGAAGCAGTATATTTCAGTCGCTGCCAACACTCGGGGGACCCTGGGGGAGGGGCTGGAGGCCTGGCAGCCGCTTAGTTCTCGGCGGCAGGGTGGGCGGGGGGGGGGGACCTCAGCCATGAAGAGGCAAGCACCAGGGAGGGACGTGGCTTCTCACCGGGGGCTCCAGGGGCTCTGCAGGTAACATCCATTCCTTCAGCAGATGAGGAGACCACGGCTGCAGAGGACGGGGGCTCCCGCAAGGTGAGCCGGGGGGACAGTGGGGAGGACGACGGAAGTGTCGGCCCAGAACCCCGATCTCTGCTGCCACCTCCAGGCCTTCCCGTCGGGCAGGCACTGCGCCTTCGGGAGCCTCGTCTCCGTCCCCTTTCCACGCCCACTCAGCACTGTTACCTACTTTATAGTAAACTCTTCTCGTGCTCAATACCTTGCTTAGTAGCAGGAGCTGAGAAGGCGTGGGTTTGATGCACCAGGTGTATGACGGTCAATACTCACAGAAATCAAGGCTGAGCTGCAGGAGGAGCCCAGCGATGGGGCAGGGCTGGGCCAGGCGAGCAGCAGGCAGGGCAGCACGGCCCCATCACCAGCACCCCCGGGGCTCGCAGGACAACTGGTCCCACGAGGCGATCAGGTCCCCTCTGAGCAGAAGTGTGTCACACCATTTACCACAAACGTTTCCAAGCACATCTAGAAGTAAGAGAGACGGGTGTACCCTCACCTGCCACTTCAGTTTCACAGTTACTAGCGTGCTGCCATGTCGCTCCATCCGTGTTTTGCTGCCGTGTGGTTCTAACTCCAGGCCCTCTGCTCACATAGCTACAACCGTGACAGCACCTGAGACAGACAGCCACGCCTCCGTGATCTCCAATATGAGTCATTTGTTTTTTTGTTGTTTTTTTTTGCGGTACGCGGGCCTCTCACTGTTGTGGCCTCTCCCGTTGTGGAGCACAGGCTCCGGACGCGCAGGCTCAGCGGCCACGGCTCACGGGCCCAGCCGCTCCACGGCATGTGGGATCTTCCCAGGCTGGGGCACAAACCCGTGTCCCCTGCATCGGCAGGCGGACTCTTAACCACTGCGCCACCATGGAGGCCCTGAGTCTACATTTAATTGCCCTTAGTTCTCCAAGTGTCTCTTGATGGTGTGGTTTTTCAAATCTGGATCCAACCAGGGTCCCCACGTTGCATTCGGTTGTGCCATCTCTTGAATCTCTCATAATCTAGAATATTCCCCCCACCTCTGACCTGTCACAAACGCAGGGTCCGCGGTGCTGAATCTGTCCAATCGCTTCCTCTCGGAGTATCTGGTCTCTCGCTCTCTGCTCTTCCTGTAAGCAGGGCTGCAGACCTGAAGGGCCCTTCCGCGGTGAGAAGCCTGGTTGTCCCGTGCACAGCCATCTGAGCCTGACCAGTGGGCTCCGGTGCTCACAGGCCTCTCCCGTCACCGTGGAGTTGGCTCCTCCCCATCATGACCGGCAAGCAGTCTGCAAAAGCACGGCTCTCCACCAGCCCCCATCTGTTGGTTTCATCATCTGTTGATGGTCATTACCAAGTTCATTTCTTCATTAGGCAGTATAAAATGGTGCTTTACAATCCTGTCATTCCTTGTACAGTCCTCGGCTGGAATGCTTCTATATAAAAGAGCCCTGTGATGATGCTGAAATGCAGGCCTGCAGCTGTCAGAACAACGCCCACGCAAAGATGCCCACCCAGGTCCCAGTCTCCCAAATCTGTGCGTATGTGGCAAAGGGCACTTTGCAGATGTGAAGAAGTTAAGGATCTTGAGATGGGAGGTTGTCCTGGATAGTCCTGGGGGGCCCCCAAGTAATCGCGGGGCCCTTAGAAGAGGGACACAAGAGGACCAGAGTCAGAGACCTGAGGATGCAGCAGAGGTCTGAGAGAGACAGACTGGAAGGTGCCGCGCTGCCGCTCTGAAGATGGAGGGAGGGGCCGGGAGCACAGGCGCCTCTCGGACGGAGTCAGAAAAGGCGTCCAGGAGCCTTCAGAAGCGGCCAGCCCTGCCCACGCCCCGACCTTAGCCCAGCAGCGCAGACTTGGCTTCTGGCCCCCAGAACTGTAAGATAACGAATCTGTGTTGTTTTAAGCCACTCAACAGGAACATGAAATTAACGCAGCTCAACAGAAAAGGCGAGAATGAGGCTTCATTCTCCACCTTTACTTCCGATTCTCAGAGCAGAACCGGTGAGCCAGCAACAGGCAGTGTCACCACCTGCATCCCGGTGTTACGGCTGCCGTAACAATTGCGTAACACGACACGCGTTTACCCTCGCACTTTTCTGGAGGTCAGGAGCCCGTAGCGACCCTGTGACGGCACGTAGGGCCCACCTGGGTTATCCAGGACCCCCTCCCAGCTCAAGACCCTTACCTTCATCGTGGCTGCGAAGTCCCCTTTTGCCAGGGAAAGTGACTATCCAGAGATTGCAGAGGTGAGGACCTGGGTAAATGCAGAAGCAGTCAGTGAACTGCGTTTTTCACTTTCTCGTCACGGCTAAGGCTGTGCAGGTTTTTATACGCTCGGTGTGTGGTGCTCAGCTGCAGCTAGCACGGGTCTTGACCTCTGGCTAGGGGGCTCCTCCGGCAGCTGGTTCTGGGTGCTTCTGCTACGTCCCTGTGTTGGGACCTGAGTGCACAGCCCAGGTTCGTCTTGCTGATTTCTTGCCTCACATCTGGGCGGGCCATTCCTCTAGCGAGGAGTGGTACTTAGAAACCAACGTCCAGACGCGAGAGGTGCTCACTGCGGCTGCTGCCATCGCTACTGGATGTTGTCAGGGCAGAGCGAAGAAGTGACACTTCAGTGCATGTGCTTCCTGACCTCCTCAAAGTTACTTCACCGATGCACACGATCATTTCATCCAAATTGAACACTGGAGGGTTTTACTAACCTTTGTTGATTTTATACTTGATCTCATTTCTCTTACACTGAAAATCTTGGTTCCTAACAACAGTAAGATAATTGCTGATTTACTTTAACCTACAATATACAATCACCCCTCAGTATCCATGGGGGATTGGTTCCGGGACACACACCCCCACAGGTAGGTACCAAAATCCACAGATGCTCAAATCCCTTATACAAAATGGCATAGTATCAGGTTGGCCAAAAAAGTTCGTTCGGGTTTTTCCATGAGAACTTTTTGGCCAACTGAATATTTGCATATAACCTACACACACTCTCCCGTGTAATTTATACCCAATACCATGTCAGTGCTGTGTAAACTGTTGCCTGTGTGAGGCAAATTCAGGTTTTAAATTTCTGGAATTTTTTTCAAATGTATTCAATCTGTGGTTGGTTAAATCCACGGATGTGGAGCCCATGGATATAGAGAGCCAATTATACATAAAAAGCTTAAAAAATAACAAATCCAAACTCCCGGCCAACAGCAAGCAAACCAGATGAATTTAAGGTTTCTTTGCAGTAACTCTTGTCCTTAGAATAAATCCCATGAAGGACTTACCGTCTAAATGCTGTCCCAGTCACGAGAAATCATTATTTTCTTGGGAGTTATATTACCATCGATATACAGTCAGTTTAATTTAACTCCGTTTGTTTCTGATTTTCAGAGATTGCTTCATATATACAAGTTTACTTGTAATACCTAAAATGTGAGAATGTAAGGTTACATGGCTCTAAAATCAAAGCTATATGGCAAAACACACGCAGCAAACTCACACCTCCAGACGTTCCCTCCACCCTTATTCCTTCCCTCTGCTCACGGGTGACTGTTTTATGAATTTTTGGTTTATCCTTTCAGCATTTCTTTTTGCATATTTGAGCAGATACATATGCAAATTCATGTTCCTCTCCCCCTTTCACACAAGAGGCAGCCTGCAATGGATGTTGCCTTTTCTGCTCACCAGTCGATCCTGGAGATCTCTCCGTTCCCACGTGTATCTTCCTGGTTCTTTCTTACAGCTGCAAATGTCCCCACTGTGCGGATGCAGCCCAGCCAGTGCTATGGGTGCCTGAGTTGACAGCAGTATAAATCCTCTATGAATGATACAGATGATACGTCAGTGAATATTCTTGGGCACGTAATACTCCGCACGTGTCTAAGCAGAACTGTTCAAATGCAGCTGCAGTGTGCTGTGTTGCTTGTTTTCTAGTGAGACTGTTGCAAGCTTTGCCAGGAATAATTACACGTCTCGGGGCCCCAAGTGCTTCCGTGCAGCTTCCATCCCCCCTCAAAACGTGAAGAATACCCCCCGAGACTGATCGTACCCCGGAGACCCTATAACTGTAGACAATAGAACCATACTAACATTTATCATCCGGGGTCCTGACACCCCCAAAATGTGTGTCAACTGGAGAGAATGGTCATGCAAGGGCCACGCAGAGGTGAGGGGGCTCCGTGAGACCTGGTGTGTTGGTGTCCTGGGGCTGCTGTAGCAACTTACCACAGACCAGGTGGGTTAGAACAGCTGAAGGATGCGCTCTCACAGCTCTGGAGGCCAGACGTCCAAAATCAGGGCATTGGCGGGGCTGTGCTCCCTCTGGAGGCTCTGGGAGGATCCCTCCTGCCCCGTCCAGCTCCTGGGGTTGTTGGCCATCCCTGGCTCAGAGCTGCGTCACCCCAGCCTGTGCCTGTCTTCACCTGGCCCCTTTCTGTGTCTGCAGTCTCCCTCCCCTAACTCACAGGGCACCCAGGCTTGAATCGGGGAACACCTCAATCCAGGGCGACTCCCTCTCGAGACCTTTAACTTCATTACATCTACAAAAACCCTATTTGCAAAAGGTCACAGTCACAGGTTCCAGAGGGACGTATCCTTGGAGGCCACCCTTCCACCCACCACACCTGGTGAGGCACCCTGGACGGACGAGAGCCAGGCCCTCGACCTGCCAGGCTGCAGGGAGCAGGGTGGGGCCCCCGCACTCCTAATGCGTGATGAGTGCCGGAGCCGCTGGCTAGGAGGTGTGCCTGGCGGGAGCCGTAGCCCCCGAGGAGCCCAGCTACTGCCACTCCATGACGTGGGAAGCTGGGGGACGGCACCCCTCGGGACTGACCTCCTGGGCCCAGAGCAGGGCGTGTGCAGACCAAGCAGCCCCACGGGCACCACCCTCCCTGACAGCCTCGCGGGCACCTAAGCCAGCTCCCCGTCCCGGCGCCTCTCATTCCAGGCGGTCGACTATGAGCTGAACAGAGCGTTCATGCTGACCGTGATGGTGTCCAACCAGGCGCCCCTGGCCAGCGGGATCCAGATGTCCTTCCAGTCCACGGCGGGGGTGACCATCTCAGTCATGGACATCAACGAGGCCCCCTACTTCCCCTCGAACCACAAGCTGATCCGCCTGGAGGAGGGCGTGCCCACTGGCACCGTGCTAACCACGTTTTTGGCAGTGGACCCTGACCGGTTCATGCAGCAGGCGGTGAGGTGGGCCCACAGAGCACCCTCGGGCCCTGGGAACAGGGAGCCCCGTCTTCCACAGAGAAGAGTCCTGAATGCCCAGTGAAACCTGCAACCCAGAAAGTCCCGGGTGGGCGCTTGGGGGCATCCCCGACTTGTGGTGTCCCCAGGCAGGGAAGCCCAGTCTGGGGACAGCTGGCATCACCGGCCGCCAGGCTGCCCTGACACGAGACGGTGGGAAAAGCTTGAAGGACATTCAGCCGCATCTAGAGTCAGGCTGGGTCCTGACCCCGCTTGACGCTCCTGCGCTTACGATTCTGTGAGTCACCAGCCCCCTCTGCCCCTCCGTCTCCCCGCCTGTAAAGGGGGCGATGGGAGAATCTGCCTCCCAGGGTCCTTGTGAGGTTAAATAGCCCGTTCTCCTTGGAGACTTCCAGCCGCTGTTGTCACTGTCCCGCGTGGGAGGACCCCGTGCAGGGCTTCAGGGAAGGACCCCCACCCCCACCCCGCGCGCGCTCGGCAGGAGGGCGGCCAGGAGGGGCTCCTCCAGCCCCTCGCCTCACCCCTCCCGCCCCTCGCCTCACCCCTCCCCTCCCTCCCCCGCAGATACTCAAAGCTGTCGGACCCAGCGAACTGGCTGCACATTAACGCCACCAACGGTCAGATCAGCACGGCGGCCGTCCTCGACCGCGAGTCTCCCTACATCAGAAACAACGTCTATGAGGCCACCTTCCTGGCAGCGGACAACGGTGCGCCCAGGGGCAGGGAGACAAGGGGCGGGGGGCCCGCCCTCGCCCATTTGAAGCCCTGGGCCTGGTGCTTCACTGATGCGGGCGCCAGGGGAGCTGGGCACTGTTAACACCACTGTTACAGCTCCCTGGGCTCCTGCCATGTGCCAGGCTCTATCCATCAGTGAGCAAAACAGACAAGAGCCTTCTCCTTTGCATGGGTGACATTCTAGAGGCCAGTGTGTCGGCTTGAACCAGGTTTGTCTGCATAATAATTATAGCAATCTTAACAAGATGGAGATTTACTTTCTGCCACATAAAAGAAGACTGGAAGCAGGCAGCCCAGGGTCAGGTATGAGAAACCAAGCTCACTCTGGCCACTCCCGTGTCCTTGGCAAGCTGCAGCATATGGCCCGGAGCAGCTGCTGATGCTCCAGCCATCGTGACCACATTCTGGCAAACAGGAGGAGCGGGAGGCCAAGGGCACATCCCAGCCCTTCTAAGGACTTCCACTCACAGCTCATGAAAGCCAGAACTCAGTCCCGAAGCCACGTCTCACTGCAAGGGATGCTGAGGAATGTCGTCTTCTGGTTGGGCAGTGATGAGCCCAGGTAAAGTCTGGGGCTTCAGTTCTTTTATTAAGGAACAAAGAGGAAATGGATATTAGGGACAACTCAGCAGTCTCTGCCCCAGGGAAACAAGTGTGAAACAAGCCAGCCAGACAATTTCAGGGAACGGGAGGTGCCGGAAAAGAACCAAATGGAGGATGGGAGAGTGGCCGGGGTCTCCTGCTGCACTGCTGGCTATGAGTGACCTGCTGTGGGTCCAGGACCTGCGGGATTAGAAGGACAAGCCAGGGGAAGATGGGGCGGGGAGGGGCGTCCCGGAGTCAGGAAAGGGCACTCGCAAAGGCCCCGTGCCAGGCCCATGCCACGTGGGTTCTGGGATCAGCTGCATAAATAAAGCTTCAGGAGCTAGAGTAGCCGCTGCACAAAGGTTTGGTCGACAGCAGCTGGAAGCTGGGACCTGGAGACCATCCCGCAGCCCCTGCCCACCTCCCTCACCCCGCGGGGTCCACAGAGGCCCAGCCCCTCGGCCAGCCACGATGAGCGGGGACCGCTGCTCTGAGCAGCAGCTGCAGCACTGAGATTAGATTAGAACGTGATCTTAATGCATCAGTGGCCAGAGCAGTGGAAAGCAGGAGGAAGACACCAGAATCGGAGCACAAGTCCCGCTCGCGTTAACAGAACCTGCCTGTGCTGCTCAGACTGTGAGCCGTGCCATCGGCCACCTATCACAGCAGGCACCAAGCTGCGTCGCCTTGAACGCGCGCTGATGCGTCTCCTGGGAGATCACAGACGCGCTATGGGATGGATGTTCTACATGCTCTGCCTGCCTCGGCCAAGAAACGCAGTCGTCAATGACGGGGTCAGAGCCGCCGTCAAAGGGCAGGGCCACGCTCAGAACACGGAGGACAGACAGGCCACCTCCGGCCGCTCAGCGCTGGTCCACCCTCACTGTGCACCTGGGCTGAGACAGGGGCTGGGTGTGGGCAGGGGGGGGGCGGGACGGGACGGGACAGCCACACGTGGGCAGGTGTGTGCGGTTCCTGTGTGTGTGCAGCTGAGTGGCTGCATATGTCACATGGCAGAGTGTCAGTGTGCATGTGGGGCTGTGGTCAGCTGGGGTCTGTCCCGGGTGGGGCTGGGGTCTGTCCTGGGTGGGACTGGGGGTCTGTCCTGGGTGGGGCTGGGGTCTGTCCTGGGTGGGGCTGGGGTCTGTCCCGGGTGGGGCTGGGGTCTGTCCTGGGTGGGGCTGGGGCGTGGTCCCATGCACACTGTGCGTCTGTGGTCATGGAGCCCAGGAGTGACCGTGTGATCACCCGTGTCCGGCCCACAGGGATCCCTCCGGCCAGCGGCACCGGGACCCTCCAGATCTACCTCATCGACATCAACGACAACGCCCCCGAGCTGCTGCCCAGGGAGGCGCAGATCTGCGAGAAGCCCAGCCTGAACGCCATCAACATCACAGCGGCTGACGCGGACGTCGACCCCAACATCGGCCCCTACGTCTTCGAGCTGCCCTTCGTTCCAGCGAGCGTGCGGAAGAACTGGACCATCACCCGCCTCAATGGTAAGCCTGCCTCGGGCACCAGCCCGCTGGCACCCCTGCCAGTGGGAAAATTGGACGAGTCTAGGGTGCAGGCCCCCAGGGGCCCATCACCCCTTCACAGGAGGGTCGCGCAGCCCCTTCCTGTGGCGTGGGGGCCCCTGCCTGCTCTGGGGCTCGGCCGCCAAGGAGGCCCCCAGGGCAGGCCCCAATCTCATCATTTTAACAAGCTCAGCCTTGACCATCCCAGTGGCTGCAACTGCAGACCACTTCCTATGCCATCACCAACTGAAGGGACGGGCCCTAACCAATGCATTTCCTGAGTCCTATGCCATCACCAACTGATGGGACGGGCCCTAACCAACGCGTTTCCTGAGTCCTATGCCATCACCAACTGATGGGACGGGCCCTAACCAACGCGTTTCCTGAGTCCTATGCCATCACCAACTGATGGACGGGCCCTAACCAACGCGTTTCCTGAGGGCACTTCCCTAGCCGTGGCCTTGGTAGAAAGGGCGTCCAAGTTCTGAAGTTCTGATAGCATTTGCTTGTTCCCCAAGCCCTTACCAACACTGAATATTGTTTTAAAAAGCATTTTTCCAATTCTTTTAGCGAAAATCACTGTTTCCACTTGTATCTTTTGACTACCAGTGGGCATTTTTTCATATATTTATTGGCCATTTTTTGCTTCTGTGAACCATCTGTTCAATGTCCTTGCCTATATTTCTTTGAAAATGGGCTTTTTTTCTAATTGATTTGGTCGAACTCTTTATACGTTAAGGAAATAATTTCATCATTCTTCGTGTTGTAACTGCTCTATTTCTCTTTTTTTTTTTTTTTCCTGGGCTGTGTTGGGTCTTCGTTGCTGCGCGCGGGCTTTTCGCTAGTTGCAGCGAGCGGGGGCTGCTCTTCATGGCGGTGCATGGGCTTCTCATTGTGGTGGCTTCTCTCATTGCGGAGCATGGGCTCTAGGCACCTGGGCTTCTGTAGTTGTGGCACGAGGGCTCAGTAGTTGCAGCACACGGGCTCTAGAGCACAGGCTCAGTAGTTGTGGCGCATGGACTTAGTTGCTCCGCAGCATGTAGGGTCTTCCTGCACCAGGGCTCGAACCCGTGTCCCCTGCATTGGCAGGCGGATTCTTAACCACTGCGCCACCAGGGAAGTCCCACTGCTCCATTCTTGAATTGCCAACGTCTCAACCTTATGGTGTGATGCAGGGTGTGTGTGCGCACATGTGCGCACGTCTACGTGTGTCTTAGCCAAGCAGGCGTGTTAGATGTTCCCACTATCAGTCTTTGCCTCCGTTAGTCTCGCTCAGAAAGGAGGGCGGGCTGCTCAGTGAGTGGAGCCCGTCCCGTCACTCGCACCAGGTGACTACGCCCAGCTCAGCCTGCGCATCCTGTACCTGGAGGCCGGAGTGTACGACGTCCCCATCGTCGTCACGGACTCGGGGAACCCGCCCCTGTCCAATACGTCCATCATCAAAGTCAAGGTGTGCCCGTGCGACGAGAATGGCGACTGCACCACCATGGGCGCGGTGGCGGCAGCCGGGCTGGGCACGGGCGCCATCGTGGCCATCCTCATCTGCATCATCGTCCTGCTCAGTGAGTGCAGCTGGTCCTGGGGTGACGGGTGGAGGGGCCCAGGTGTGCCCACGGCCCCATCTCCTGGCCCCGCTCTACCTGCCAGGAGACTTCCAGAAGCCCAGCCCAACCGGGTGCCCGGCAACAGACACAGGCACTCGCAGCCACACGTGCGCACCCTCCCGCGCATGCACGCCCTCGTGCAGACACACGCACACCTGCTCACGGTGCCCCCTGCCCCACAGCCATGGTCCTGCTGTTCGTCGTGTGGATGAGGCGGCGGGAGAAGGAGCGGCACACGAAGCAGCTGCTCATCGACCCTGAGGACGACGTGCGCGACAACATCCTCAAGTACGACGAGGAAGGGGGCGGCGAGGAGGACCAGGTGAGGCCCGTGGCCGGGACAGCGGGGACGTGTGGGGACACCCTCCCAGCCCTGGCGGAGCGCACACGCTGGGGTCCCCGCGTGACCTCCGGCCCTCAGCCCTGCACCCCTCATCTGCACCTTCCGCAGCCACTGAGCCCCGCCCAGTGCCGCCTGCACCCCGCGCCCAGGGAGGGTGGGCCTGGGGCGCTGCCCAGTTGGTCACTGGGGACTCAGGGCGAGCCTTAGCCCATAAAAGCTTAGTGACCACCCCCCGTGAAGTGGGCGTTCCCAGGGACACATGAGGAATGCGGTGGCAGCTGAGCAGATGGGGAAGGGGTTGACCCCAGGGGGAAGGCAGCAGGGGGCACAGACCCCACATGTGCCTTGAGGACGGGCAGGATTCGGATGAACAGAGGTGGGGTGAGCATTTCAGGAAGGACAGACCAGGTGAGGGCCAGGACGGAGGGGCGCCCCGGGGGCCTGGAATAGGTCAATAGATATGCTCAGAGCCCAGTCACAGAACACGATGAGGACGCGCCCCACGACTTCTCTGGTGCCTCTGCCTGGTACCCCCCCCCACCCGGACTACCTTTCCTGACTCCCCTGCCCGCCCCCCAGGACTACGACCTCAGCCAGCTGCAGCAGCCGGAGGCCATGGAGCATGTGCTGAGCAAGGCCCCCGGGGTGCGGCGGGTGGACGAGCGGCCGGTGGGCGCCGAGCCCCAGTACCCGGCCCGGCCGGTGGTGCCCCACCCAGGAGACATCGGGGACTTCATCAGCGAGGTGGGTAGCCCAGCCGTGTCGGGGGCGCAGACCTGCTAACACAGACAGGAAGCAGCCCGCTTCTCTGGGGCCCGGTGCTGGGCTCAGCGGGCAGCTCCAGACCTGGGTTCACGCCGGCCCTGCTGCTGCCGGCGGGGAGCCCTGGGCCGAGCGCCTCGGTTTAGTATCCCTGCTGCAGAAGGACTAACCTGCCCCCGCCCCCGGTGGGGACAAACACGCAGGGCTTAGCAAGACTGCTGGAACTGGAGGCCACAGTCCAGGCAAGAACAGGAGGGGGACCAGCAAGGTGGCTCTGACCCCAGACTCCTGTCTGCAGCGATCGGGAGAGGCCTCCGCAGTGTCCACTCAACCCCGATGACCAGACGCGCAGGCTGCCCCTCCCCACTCCACACACACACAGGGCATCGGGGACGGCCTGGGAGGTGAGCATCACTCCAGAGCTGACCACGTGGCCGTGTCACCCATCCTAACGCCTGGGGTCTGGAGACCATGTAGCATCAGCGTCCCCGCCGACAGCGTCCCTTTGATCATCCCCTTGGCAAGAAAAGCTGACCCACCTCTTGAAGCTGAGCCCAAGGTGCCCAACTGACATGTCCAAGGGTGTCAAGAGCGCGCCTCCCACCTCTGCTCCCGTCCTCCTGTGCGGTAAAGCCGAGGGACAGCGTGAGCCAGGGCGCGTGGCTGCACCCCAGACGCTCTCCCCCAGCGCCAGCTGCTGCGGCCCGGGCAGCCAGTACCTCCGCGCCCACCGCGGCTCCCACAGCGGGATGCCTTCCGTGCCCCGTGTAGCCAGCGCGGGTCCCTGCGGATTTACCGCCCATCTCTAACACGGCTGTACTTTGAGAGGGGCTGACGACACTTCTTTCTCCACCTGTGTCAGAACCGGACTTTAAAAGGATTTATTTAAACAGAATAGAACCCAGGGAGTGGCTTGGCAGAGACACAAAAGAGATTTCTCAGAATATTCCCCGAAACAGACCGTGTCTCAGGCCGTAAATGAAATTTTTATGGCTGCCCAAAAGCCGATTCAGCTTGGACGACATTTACCATCTACAGGGTAATAAAATTTTTAAAACTCCAAAAACTACGTCCTCCCTGATGGACAATCAAAAGCCCACTTTTAAACAACTTAGAGGAAAGCAAAAATGGAAATGACCAACCATTCCGTACTGAATAATGGAAAAGGTACTCCCCTCCCTAACGAGGGCAGGCTTAGGCAGTGCCAGCACAGGCCCCCGGGCCGTCCTGCCTCCTGCGGGAGACTCCTGGAGCCGTCGGGGAGCCCTCCAAGCTGTCCCGCCCCCCGGGGGGAGGGAGCGGGGAGGTGTGTCCACCCCTCCCACGGTCCCCGGGTGGGAGCTGCCAGGGGCACCCTTGGCCAGTGGCCAGAGTGCTGGAGGTGGCCTGGCCAGGGGTCCCAGCATCAGGCACTGGGGGAAAGGGGCCGGGGCACGGGCAGGGGCTCCAGCCACACCTGCTACATCCCCGTTTGCTCCCGCGCACAGTTACGGTAACAACTTCAGGTGTCTGACACCCACCCCGGGTTCCCCTCCCTGTGGCAACAACCAGGGACTCGTGGAGGCCGGCCTCTCGCACAGGCCCCGGCCGGCCCTCCGCCTGGCTGTGTGCGCTGCCCCCAGGCCTCTTGCACAGCTCATTCTGCAAACACCGCGCCCCTACTCGGGTCTCTGAGGCGCCCTTGACTGACACGCAGGAGCACTTATTGAGCACCTGCTGCATACAAAGCCCCATCACTGCGCCTCCCCAACCTGCCTCCCCAGCTCCGCTCCTGGGCGCCCCTCTGCCCCCCGCCCTGCACCCTAACCCGTGTCTCCACGGCCCCCAGGGACTCCGCGCAGCCGACAACGACCCCACGGCGCCGCCCTATGACTCGCTGCTGGTCTTCGACTACGAGGGCAGCGGGTCCACCGCGGGCTCCGTCAGCTCCCTGGACTCATCCAGCTCCGGGGACCAGGACTACGAATACCTGAACGACTGGGGGCCCAGGTTCAGGAAGCTAGCAGACATGTACGGCGGCGGCCAGGAGGACTAAGCGGGCCCGCCCCAGACGAGGCGAGAGCAGCGCTCGGACGTACGGGACAGACAGCGGGCCTTCCCGACTCCGCGGCCGCGCCACCCGGCGGTGTGTGAGGGGTCCCCGCCCGCCCCCCGCACGGAGCTGTCTGGCACGAACACTTGTCAGCCCGCGGCCGCCCCCAGCGCGGTAGCTGACTCGGCACCACGGAGAGCAGAGGCACCGTCTGAGCCTGGATTTCCTGGACAGAAGCGCTGTTTAAAACAGAATGGAAGTGCCTTTTGGTACATGCGTCAGATTCCCTCACACTCAGGAGCGCCCCCCAGCCAGTCCTGAGCGCCCCCAACCCCGGCCAGTCCCAGCTCTGAAGTCACGAATTAAGGAATTGGGGAGAATGTCCTTTTTTTCGATCTCCTATCAAGAAAAAAAGTGGGTGACGCACTTGACAAAACTGACAAAGAAAAACAATTTGGGGTCCAAACGCCATAAGCCTTCCGAGTGCTCACACTTTGCTTGCACAGTTGGGGTCTCCCGGGCCCCCTGGGGGTCCCCGAGGCCGGAGGCCCCACCTTCAGCTCCTGCAGCAGCGAGTCCGCCTGGGGCAGGTCAAGCCGGTGGACCAAAGGCCCGCTGTACAGCTGGGCTTCCACAGAAGCGTGCTGCCCCCGACTCCCAGATGCTGGAAATAGCTGGGCAGCTGGGGTTCCCAGCGGCTGTCCCTGATGCTCCCCCATCTCTGCCCTTGGCCACCCCCAGGGCCTCCCAATCATGAGGCCTCCCCCAGGGCCAACTGTGACCCTGAATGCCACCCAGGTCCCCACTGCCTTTGGTCCAGGAGAGTACGGTGTCCCAGGAAACCACAAGCAAAACCGGCCGGCATGCCACCAAACCCTGGCATGAGCCCTCCACCCCTCTAGATCAGACTCCCGAGGGACCCCGTCAGAGGCCCGGCGGACACTCACCAGTCCAAACCCCCGAAGGCTCTGGACGCCTCTGGCCACCGGCGGGGCGTGCGGACTGCAGGGAGAGCTGATGCTCACCGGGGTCCCAGGAGGCTGGAGACGACCGGGGGGACTGGCGGGCTCCTCCCTGCCCTGCTCCTCTGGACCAGAGTTTCTGATGCTCGTGAGCTGATGTGGGCGGCTACGGTCGGCTCCGAGTGCCGGGACAGCACCGTCGTCGCTGTGCCATCTGTCCCACACGTGCATCTCACCGCATCCGCCAGAAACAGTCTCCTTTCCTTTGGACCCGTGGCAGCAGCCAGCAGCTGCAGGGCCAGGTAGCTGCTTGAGCTCTCAGAACTGGCCGTGCCTCCTGCGGGGCAGTCTGACTCCCAAGCCAGACTCCCGAGTCAGCTCCACAGTGCAGCAAGGAGCCCCCTGCTGTGTCTGTCCACGGCTGCGTGAGAAGAGGCGCTGGGGCAGCCCTTCGCCCAGCATCTCCCAGGACCTCCATTCTGGGTGTGAAGGCGCCTCAGGCCGGCAGGAGAGCCGCCTCCTGGGGGATCCTTGCCTGCTCTCGGGCTCCCCAGGGAGGGGCCTGGGCTGCCACTGGCCCTGGGCAGGACTTGGTGTCAGAGCCCCACCTCACACCTGCTCCTGGGGCCAAGGGAGGCCTCGGGAGGGCGGGGGCGGGGTTTCACACGCTCCCCGTGCCCTCCGTCGGGGGGTCTCTCTCCGATCCACTCCGCAGCCCACAGCCTGCCCTGGTGCCATGGTCATCCTCTTTTCTAAACAGCCTCGGCCTCAAAGATGAGCTTGAGTGGACACGTGCGTGTGCAATCCGCGTGGGTGTGTCCCCCCTGGATATCAGGGTTCTTCCCCAAACCAAACTCATCACTAATTCCATCCACCCTCCCGGAGCTGAGCTGAGCTGAGCTGAGCTGGGGAGACGGGCTCTGGCCTGTGGCCTGAGGGAGGCCCGTGCTGGGCTCCGTCCATCCTGACCCCGTCCATGACTCCTGGGGAGGGACGCGTGGACGGAGGCAGTGGTCACCGGTGTCACATGCCCATGCCCCTACGCAGACTGCGGTCTCCCAGACGTGGCGGGCGGCGTGGCCTGCCGGAGGGAGGGGACGCCCCCCTGTGAAGCCATGCTGTGCAAATCGCTCGGGGTCAGGCGGCCCACGAGGACTGTCCCAGTGTCTGAAGGTGTGGCCATCCAGGATTGCTGGTGGTGTCAGGGTTGGTGAGACGTGAGCTGGAACCTTGTTTTTGTTTGTTTCTGGAAAGCTCATCTCCAGTTGAAGTTCTAAGGGTGACTGTGGTGGGGCCCAGACAGCTGTGAACTCTCCTCACTGGAATCCCGAGGCCCCCTCTGGTCCCCTGGGCTCACCCCAAGGATGGGTGTGCTAGGCGCGGCCTGCGACTCGGACCCCTCGGGGCCCCAGGCGCCCTGCCTCCCCCCACCCAGGAGAGCCGGATGCAGAGTCCGTCCCACTGCCCCCTTCCAGCTCTCTTGCCCCGGCCCCTCGCCTCATCACTGCCAGGTCCCCTGCATCGCACAGGCCGAGGCTGCGGCAGCCAGCGGGGGACACGTCAACAGAGGGGGTGCTTCTCACACCCATCCCTGCTTCCAGGCAGCCGGACAGCTGCCCCTGGAGGCTCCCACCCCCTCCCAGAGCTCCGTCCCAACCAACGGGTTAGCATTAGCTAAACACACAATCGGCGTCAAACGTCCCTTTTTCGCAGCTTGTAGATACGACGGGTCCAGATCAGGACGCGGCCAGCGGAGGCCCAGACTCGGTGCTGGCAAAGCGCTCAGGCAGGTTCAGCGCCTGTAGGGAATTTCTGTTCTTGTGAACAGGAGACGCCAGCAAGAATGCCCTGGCCTCGGGCGGTGGGCACCCCCAGCCCAGGGCCACCGTGCCCGTCAGGCCTCAGCACCCGCCACCCCTGGCCCAGCAGGCCTTCCCTTTCCTGCGTGCTTCAGAACATCCCGGGCGCCTGACCTCCCGCCGCCAACGTGTCAGGGTAACGGCAGCCGTCAGGCCTTCCCTACTGTGAGCACCACCCACACGGGCCTTTGAGATGACAGCTCTGTTCCCTCCAAGGGGAGCGTCAGGGAGGGGAGTCTCAATTTCTGTCAAGGCTGAAAGGTGTAACACCAAGAAAGCAAACACAATCTCCCCCCCGGAGCATCCTGAGAGACAGTTCCGCGCCACCTGGCGTAGATGAGACAGGCCCCCCGCAAAGCGGGGCATCCCGGGGGGGAACCTCTGTGTATAATTGGAACGCATTTGCTTTTCCTTTCTCTCCTTTCCCCATTCTAATTTTTTTTTTTTTTTTTTGCATGTTTCTTTTTGAAAACGGACCCAGTGTGTAGCAGCCCGCATGACTGTGGCTGTTCTGGGGAGACGCTGGGGTGCGACGCACTCACTGCATCTCTGAGCGTTGCACGGTTAGACCAACGTTCCAACTGCTTTTGTAATCGTCAACAGCACAACTATTTTGTATTGTTGTTTGTATCATTTTGTACCAAAAAAAAAAAAAAGAAAAAGGGAAGAGCATTGATGTTTTCAACGTGTTTTCTAGCGCCAGGCGGTCTCGGCTCCAAACTGAGCGGCAGCTTCGCGGAGGGGCCGTGTGTGGGAGCGGGCTCGGGGTCCTGGCACGCTGCTCCAGGGCAGTAAATAAAGTCCCCCTGTTAAGTGGTCGCCTGACCCTGGCTTGTTTTTCTCCGAGTGTCCCATCCGCTCAGGGGCAGCAGATGGACGAACACGGGGGCTGAGGTGTCGAGAGGGGGTTTGAGCACCTGCTGTGTCTCAGGCTCCGCCCTAGGCTCTGAGGGCACAGACAGCAACAGGACCAGGCCCACTCCTCACACCCGTGAGGCCCCGGGGACGCGCACAGATGAAGGCCCACGGGCCATGTGTCTAAATGTGCCGCCATGTGTCTAAATGTGTCGACGTCCTTAGAAGGTCTAAACCAACCTAACACACCGCTCAGCGAGGTGTGCTCCCCCTCCTACCTTGGCGATACGCCTTCCTGCCACCATGAGAAGGCTGGGTCAAGTTCAGGGTTCTCCTGCCCCTCGGATTCTCTCAGGGCCCAGCCTCCTCCCCGCCTCCAGGGACTGCAGGCCCACCCCTGACGCCAGCCAGAAACCCACGGGCCAGCGGGTCCAGTCCTCAGCAGCTCTGGTCACGTGCCCCAGCCTGCCCTCGACCGCTGGCCACAAAAGGTGCACAGGGGAGCCCCCGGGTTCAGTGCCAGACTCGCTGGGGCTCTGCCCACCTCAGGGAAACAGCTCAGAAAGGCTGAGGGGCACCCCGCTCACCCCACTAATAAGTGGCACAGTCAGACCAGAGCCCCAGGGGCCCACCCTGCAGGCCAGGCTCCCAGCCCTGCCCCCCAGCCCCCACCCACTTCCAGGCCTCTCCTGGGACTCGAATCTGCAACCAGGACAAGGTGCGTAACAAAAAGTCACTCACATGAGTTGACAATTACAGGCGTGATCGGCGCTTGCTAATTTTGAGGGTGACGGCAGCTAATGACATTCACAATTAGGTAACTGCTGTGGGCCTGGGACAGGCAGTCGCTGGGGGGCACAGCTCCTTGTAATCAGACCCCCGGGGCCAGGACCTGGGGGGTTGGGGGGACAGTCTGCTTAAGGTCACCCCCTCCCAGCTCCACAGCAGAGGGCTGGCTAGAGCACAGGCTCAGCAGTTGTGGCGCACGGGCTTCAGTAGTTGTGGCTCACGGGCTCTAGAGCACAGGCTCAGTAGTTGTGGCGCACAGACTTAGTTGCTCCGCGGCATGTGGGATCTTCCCGGACCAGGGCTCGAACCCGTGTCCCCTGCATTGGCAGGCGGATTCTTAACCACTGCGCCACCAGGGAAGCCCTCCCCTGCCTCCTGTTTCTAGAGAAGCTGAAGTCTCCCAGGCCTCCCGGAGTCACAAAGGAGCAGCTCAAGAAGCTAATGATTAGGACCGAGAGTCACAGACTCAGGGGCTGACGCACATTCCTGAGCCATTTTACTGACACCGTAACTGCCACCAGAAGGAAAAGGCTGGCTGCGTGGTGACCAGGGAGCAGCCGTGACATAAGCTGCTCCACCTGGAGCAGAACTGAGTCTGTGGCACTCGAGACAACTGAGTCTTGTCTCTCGGTTCCAAGAACTGGCCTCAAGAGAATGGGATTAACATTATTGTTCATGTTAACCTATACCTTTGTGTAGCTCGTTCTGCCCGTATATGTAGGCAGGCAACTAAAGCTGTCAGCAAAGAGGTGCTGTCGACAGACCCACGTCGACATCCTCCACTCTGAGAATACGGCACCTATGTCTGCAGGAAGAAGTTACAGAAGCCAGGCCTTCACCCCTAATCCCATAGAAATGGAATGCTCTTCCAAGTGGGGATCTGTAAGCAGCTCTTTGCAAGAGGTCCCCTTGTCTTGTCACTAACCTTAAACCAGCCACCCCCATGCTCTACTCATCTCTGGCGCAAGCACACCTTTCAAATCTTTCGATCACACAATACCTTGCTTAACATGTTGCTTCTCTCCATAGATCAAAGAAGTAGAAATGAAGAATAAGTAACTAACAGACGCCCAGATCTCTTCCCCAGCTTCCCCTGCAGTAATCTCACGAACAAACTGCATGAACAGACAGCATCTAAAAGAAGGTCGCAAGGAGTCGACCATCCTGCACACAGTGGGGAATGGCGGCGACTCTGACCCCAGTGTCTCCGTGATTAACCGACATTACTGCCTCTTTTTCCTTAAAAAACTTTCACGGCTGAGCAGAATCTTGGGAGTAGGTTTAGGGGGACACTGAGTACGACGTTCCCCCACGTTGCTGGTTTTCTGATTAAAAGCACTGTTTTCCATTTCTACCAACACCTGCCTCTCCAGCATGGATCTCCAAACAGCGAGCGGCTGGACCTGAGTTCAGTAACATTTTTACCTAAGGAAAAAAAAAATAAACTTCCACCCTGAGCCCAATTTTAACCGATAATCTCAGGCTGGGCACTGCCTCACAAGAGCCAGGCACACTCTCGGCTCTCCTGGGCACGTCTCCGCGTCCTCTCCCACCTTCTCCCCGCCCCTAAGTGCCCCGAGAAAAGCTCCCCTCCCCCCTCACACACACGTTCCTCCCATCTACTCAGGGACGTGCCCCCAGGACAGCCCAAGGCTGGGCAGGGGAAGCGAGGGAGGGCTCGGTCATCACGACTCTGCCGTGCCAGACGCCCCAACACAGCATCTCACAGCGAGACGCGTGGGACGCGGGGACTCCCACTCCGCAGAGGATGGCGGCGGCCAACTTTGGGGCCAGTTTGACCTTGTTACTGTTTGCCAGGAACGTGCCGGCACCACCATGTTAAGTGAGCCCACTGCTCCCCGAGCCCAAGGGGCACAAGCACGAGCCCCGCACCCACACGCGCAGACCAAAGCCCGCCTCCTGCCCCAGCAGGCCCTTTCCCGAGGGCGGGAGAGCTGCCAGCTCACCGGGACCTGCCCCCACAGTACCCAGGGCCAGGCCTCTCCTGCACAGCCGCAAAGCACCTCAGACCAAGGCGGGCGGGGCAGTGCAGGAGCACAAGCAGGGTCTCCCCGTCCCTCCAAACTGCAACTTCAAGCAGCCTCCTCAGAGAGGGACGGGGCTCGTCCGGTCCCTGGGTGCATGGGTGGGAGCAGAGTAAGTGGTCCAGTCGGCCCCCTTCGGCAGCAGGACTGAGGCCCGGAGGCTCCCAGAGGGGCCCGCCCCGGAACGAGAGGACCTGAAGACCACCCCACGCTCCCCGACACCTGCTGCGCCAGCCAGCGGCCTCCCCCGCGGGGGGCCTAGGGGGCAGTAACCTCGTCCTGACTCAGGCCCTCAGGGGTTGTATCAGATTCGGGGCACTCTGCAGGCTGAGGGCCTCGTGAGCACTGCCTCATCTGGACAGCATTAGGCCTCGGAAAACAAGGACCCTCAAGGTTGACACTGAAAGCACAAGGCCCAGGACACCCGCTGAAGAGCCAAAGGAGTGGGGTGTGGCCAGACGCTGAGCCTGACAGACCACTCTCCGCCCTCCCAGCCCACGTGCCCCATCACATCCCCCAAATGCCCACCAATCCCGTCCGCAACCCAACCCCTACACTCACGCTCACTCAGACTCAGGTGCGCGCGCGCACACACACACGCACCCACGCACGGCTGTCCTGACTCACTTAGTTGGAGGGTGCTGACCGTGGTGCTGAACTCCAGCCGCCGGCCCCGCTCCGGTGTGGCCTCAGGACACGCCCACAGGAACTTCTGCCTGTTTAGGAAAAATCACCTGCTTGGAAATTTACCTCAAAGGCAAGAAGGGGGACAGAGAGGGGTGAGGTCTGGCCCCGCTGAGCCCCTGCCACAGGGACACTACTTCTCCAGGCCCTGCCCTGCTGGGCCGGGCAGTGGGAAGGGCGCCCGGGCAGCCAGGGCTCCACGTGAGCAGCAACCCCCCTGCAAAGCCCGGGAGACCCTCGTGGCCCTGAACGCTCAGACTTCTCCGTGGGGAAAGCACCCCCCACCCGCCCTGCGGTCCTCTCTGTCCTTCTTCCTTGTCTGATTCCTTGAACAACTTCATTATTTACGTTCACGTGTCTTACCCCAAGTTCTTCCTCTGGCCTATCTATACATCATAACAGGCAGCGACCTCCCTGGATGTCCCCACTGTGTTCCCAGCGTCCAGGGTGGCCTGGCCAGGAGGAGCTCACGTCCCAGCTGTCAAGACATGCTAACCAGGGCTTCCTTGGTGGCGCAGTGGTTGAGAATCCGCCTGCCAGTGCAGGGGACACGGGTTCGAGCCCTGGTCCGGGAAGATCCCACATGTTGCAGAGCAACTAAGCCCGTGAGCCACAACTACTGAGCCTGCGCTCTAGAGCCCGCGAGCCACAACTACTGAAGCCCGCACACCTAGAGCCCGCGCTCCGCAACAAGAGAAGCCACTGCGATGAGAGGCCCGCTCGCCGCAACTGGGGAGAGCCCACTCACAGCAGCGAAGACCCAACACAGCCAAAAGTAGAATAAATAAATTTATATTAAAAAAAAAGACATGCTAACCAGGCCCCTGGCCTTCCTGGGGCAGCAGCGAGTGTGTAGCCAGAGCCTGGCCAGAGTCAAGACCCGGCTGTGAGTCCAGCTCTGCTCCTCCTGGAGCTCCTGACCTTGGACAAGTCCCCTAAAGGGCTCCGGGCCAACACCACCTGCCCGGTGGGTGGTTGGGAAGGTGAACTGAGATGGGCTGCAGTCCCAGTGCCCAGGAGCACATTGGCGTGGCCCCGGGGTGTGTGGGCACCCAGGGGATCCACAGTACACGGCCAGCCCCCAGGGACATGCGCTGTGGTCGGCAAGTGTGCAGTGTGTACGCACGGGGGGAGGGGGGGTTTGTTCACAGAACTCACACCGTCCCCACTCACCACACACCGGGGCAGCCGGTGGGCACTTCACTCCGGTCCCATTGGCTGACACCTCTGCCCACTGCTGAACACTGAGAAAAGACTCGGGGTGACTTAGGGAGGGGGGCAAAGAAACTTCCAGAAGCATGCCGGCCCGAGTGGCCAGGCAGGGGGTGGAGGGGGAGAGCACTCTGCACCTGGAGCCAGGAGTGGGTCTATGCTTGCACCCTGGCCTTTTCCTTCCTTTTAAACTTCTGGAACGGTTGCCATGGAAACTCAGAGGCCGGTGGTCAGGAGTAGCTGAGGAGTAGGCAGCAGCCGGGCACCGGTCAGCTGGGCCTGCTGGGAGGGCCAGGTGGGACCAGTCACCCACCTCCCTCCCCAACCCTCCACCACCACCAGAAAGAAAACCTGGGGAACCTCCCTGGCAGTCCAGTGGGTAAGACTTCGCCTTCCAGTGCAGGGGGTGCGGATTCGATCCCTGGTCGTGGAGCTAAGACCCCACAGGCCTCACGGCCAAAAAACCAAAACATAAAACAGAAGCAATATTGTAACAAATTCAATAAAGACTTTAAAAAAAAAAAAAAGTCCACATCCAAAAAAACAAAACACCTTAAAAAAAGAGAGAAAGAAAGAAAACCTGGGTTCAGGGCCTCTCTTGGGAAGCTGCAGGGTTTCCCTCCCTCTGGGCTGGCAAGTCAGGGCTACAGATGTGGGGGAATCCATGCGAGGCTGCTGGACGTGAAGGGCCGGTGACCACGCCTGGAAGAATCTGACGGGTCTTTGCGCCCTCACGGGCACGTGCCCTCTGCAGGACGGCGGGCGCCAACCCCTGCACCCCCACCTCATCCTCCGTTAGCAAGACAGGGTGACCCCGGGCGGCTGGTCAGCTACAAGCGGTGGACAGGGATGGGCCAGGCCACTTCAGGGCCTGAGGACGCTCATCTCTGCGCGTGTGTCTGCTTTTTGCCTGCTCTGTCAGGCCAGCCTAGGACTCTCCACAGTGGAACCCAGGCGGCCCGTGGGAAGAGCCTTTGTGGGGTCCCGGGGCCTTTCTTTTATACCTTCTGTCTGGCGGTGTGGGTGACGAAATAAAAATTTACGTTTTAAGGCAAACGAGAAAAACTCATACTTTTTTTCTCTGCCCTTTGGCCTCCTGCCTCCCCTCCGGGGTGCATTACGCATTAACCAGACCTCCCCAACAGCGGAAATACCTGCGCAGCCATAAAGGTCAATTTTTCTTCTTCTGGTACCAGCCACGTAATTCCCTAAAAGATAACATTCCTTTCTTAGTCCCGTAAGGGGGCCTCAATGAGGCCCTGTACACTCGTCCTGTACGTGCAGACGTCTTTGGTGGACTTTACGGACAAGGCCACTATATCACTTCCCTTAAAGATAATGACTGGTGCAGAACAGACTAATCAGATGACCTGGGGAGATACGGGGCTGCACCTAATGAAAGTTCTCAGCTTAAATACTTACTCGTGACCTTGTTAACGTCACCAGCTGTATTACCTGTGCCCTGCCCATTCCACCCGATTATTGGTTTGGTTTTTGCGTTACCAAACGTGTGACTGAACCTCTGATAAAATTCATGACTAGGGGACTTGAAACCACTGACCAAATACACAGTTGTATAAGATCAATGATTGTAATAGTGTAGCTCTGGATGTGGGACAAAGCGACAAGAGGGAACTGTTTCCTGGACCACGACAGACTGTGAGACAGGCGGCCAGAGGCTTGGGCTATTGTTAACGGGGCCTGGTCCAGGAACAGCCCATCGAGTGGCCCATCCATGGCATCCTCACCTGACCAGGGAATGAGCATTCCTAGCGCCATGGGACAAATTGGTCATGAAATGCCTCCCAAACCTGGGTAGGAATTAAGACCGAAAGGGAGGGGATTGTACACAAAGACCGCTGCCCACCATCCAGCTCTACGAGAATCAAGTCAGCCACTGGCGTCGCTGACCTAACAGCACATCCGGAAAGGAACTCAGAGCGGAGATCAAGGCGGAACTGGCCCTCAGGAAGTACTTTCAGGAGAAAATTTTATGAGCCCCGTTTCTCGCCTCTTCCCATACTTAGAAAAGCACTAAAACCATGAGCTAAGAGATCTGTTCCTGGAGAACAGCAGTGACCTTCTACCAAACTGTGTGCTTGGGTGCATGTACACCATCGTCAAAATCACATGTACGTGTGCTGACCTCCCCCCTCACCTCTTCTCAACAGTCCTCAGAGCCCCCTGAGAGGCGTCTGTCTCCTGGGTTATAACCCTCAGGCCGGCACCAATAAAAGTGTCCATTTCTTTCTTTGACTACTGATCAGCCTTTTCATCCACACGGAGGCGTGCCCATGCTTTTTAATAACATTTCGGTAGCTTTTCTGGAGCCTTCTGGATGCACGGACTCGTCGCCCACTCCCGCCAGGCCTGGGGGGCCAGGTGCATAGCTGCCCCGCGGGGGCAATCAGCTTAGTAACAGAGCCTCTGGTCCCTACACCTGGGGGCGCCAGCCAGGTTTTCGCCCCTCCTCCCGGGAGGTGAACTGCGGCGCGAGGCGTCTCACCGCCAAGGACCTGAGAAGCACGCGCCCCGGCGACCCTCCGCCGGTGCCCCCACCCGCGTGCACCGCAGCCCCGCCGGCTCAAGCGCCCCGCCCGCCCCACCGTGGGTCACGTGCGCCTCCCCCCTCGCTGCCCCGTCCCCACCCCACCTGCCCTCCACCCCGTGCGCCCCGCTCCCGCGAGCCGGTGGGGCGTCCTGGTCCCGCGGCCCCACACCGCCACCTGGCGGCCCGGCCTGGGATGCGCGGAAGTGGTCCCCGCGTGGCCCCCAGGACGCACCGGGCTCCGCAGGGCGGTGGCCTCGGGCGAGCCCATTCCCATTCTCCCTCCGGCCTGCTTCCTTGCCCTGCTGGTCCTGGCCTCTGGCACAGACCCGCCGCTGCATTGGGACGGGTCCCGGAGAGCGCCCCAGAGACCCCACGCCCGCTGGTGAATTAGCATCTCTGGTCCCTCTGCCCAGGGGGCTGCAGTTAGGGCTCTTAGGTTAACCCCACTTCAGAGCTGAGGACACTGAGGCCCAGAGGGTGAAATGCTGTCTGCATCCAGAGGCGGGGGTGTGAGCCCCGACTCCGCGCTGGGGGGTCAGGGGGCCCTGGGCCGGCCCTGCCAGGAACACAGCAAGTGCGGATGCTGTGGGGCAAGGCCTGGAGACCCCACCCCTTCTTCTGGTGCCCAAGTGAGAAGCCTCAGTCCGAGGATGTCACCACCCCCTCAACCTACTTCTCCGAATGTCTCCCTTCTTCCAGAAACCCCTGACATGCCCTCGCCCTGAGTTTGCAGAGGCCCCCTGAGGGGGACGGCCCCTCCCCTCCGCTCTGGTGTGGGTCCTTGGCCCAGCCAGGCTTGGGGGCTACACCAGGCTTCCTCGCTGAGTCTGCCCGGGGAGGGGAGCAGAGGGGAGGGACCATGAGGGTGGGAGTACTCGGACAGGTTCTTTCCAGGGTGTAGTCTGCAATGTTGGGGGGTCTTCGGTCCTTCCTCAAACTCCTGGGAGCCAGTTCTCAGGGCTGGGCTGGATGTGCAGGCCTGGTTGAATTGACAAGTGAAATTCTTGTCACCACCCTGCCCCAACACGTCCAAAAAAGGCTCAGTGCTGGCCTTCAGGCACAGCTGGATCCAAGTGCTCCAAGAACACCACTCTCGTGTTCTGTACTGGCCTCACTTTGAGCCAAGCTCTCGAGAAGCAGCAGTCTAGGTGGCCCTAGGCAGAAAAGCTGACCTCCTACCAGCCCCTTTCTGTGGAGTGCCTGCATCCCTCCCCTCCCCTCCCGCGCCCAGTCCCCCCAATCCTTGCACACTCTCTCTTCCTTAGCACG